TATTGCCATCTTGAGATACTTATAAAATAATAAAGATGGGATAAAAAAAATCTTTAAAAATAGCCCCAAGATTTAGTGGTCCACATCTGATATCAGGAAGCAATGCCTCTTGTGCAAATTATTAGTGGTGAAGTTATTTCTTGGTATTAGTATTAGGCTGATGACAAAGGAGTAATTTTAGTGAAAATTCAAACTGTTCCTCTTCCTTTCCTAGTCACTTTGACACATAAACATATAGTTTAAGTGTAGATTATCAAACAACACACTTGGCTGAATTCACAAAACCCATTAAGTTGCAGATCATAGTATAGAGCACATGCTAGGATTTACATGTCTTGTTTAGGCAAAAGCAATTATGACAATATAACATGTGAATGTAGCAATATTAATGTAGAATGCAGAATGTATACCCCTTTCACTTGAATTGAACATGGCAAATAAGGCACTCTGCATTTCTATGAATATTCACAACATTCTTAAAGTTTTTTTAAAAAAAACAGAAGCAGGCCAAATAAATAAAAGCACGTTCCTTTTGCTTCAATAAAGTCCATTTTTAAATTTTCACTTCATGCACTGTGAAAAATCACACACACAAAATAAACTGCACAGTAACATTTATATAAGACACTGCTGGTAAATGTTATGCACATTAAAATATAAAGTCAGAAGATGATAAATGGAATGTACATTTCTATATACATTGCAGGAAAATACATTTGATATAACATTAGTAATGAAGATAAATCTGGCCAGAGGGATTACACCAAATACATAGCAGGCTGAAGGGCCCATATACACACATTAAATTTCAGGTTCCACAGTCTTTTTAAAATGAAACCATGACCTATGCCTGAAACAAATACAGGTAGTTGACTTATGACCACAAACAAGCCCAACATTCCCATTGCTAAGCAAGACAATCGTTGAGTGAGTTTTGCCTCATTTGTTCACCTTTCTTGCCACAGTTGTTAAGTGAATCTGGTTTCCCCATTGCCTGTTCTTGTCAGAAGGTTGCAAAAGATCATCATATGATCCTGGGATATTACAACTACCATAAATACATGCCAGTTACCAAGCATCTGATTTTTGATCACGTGACAATGGGGATGCTGCAATGATCATAACTGTGAAAAATGATCACAAGTCCGTAAGTTTTTCAGTGCCACTGTAACTTCAAATGGTCATTAAACAATTGATTGAAAGTCAAGGACTATCTGTATAGATGCAGAAAGCACAAACTGTATGAAAGAAAAAAGTCACAGAACACTTGCAAAATAAAATATACCAGCTGAATACTTTGTACACATATTAAATTGATTTCCCCCCCCCCAGCATGCATCCATTATAAACATAGGGAAAAAAAGCAATTGGCAAAAATATTGTTTTATTATGGCTAAGATCCTTTGGCTAGCGCTCCAAGTTAGCATCTAAAATACTATTTTTTTAAAAAAAATGTCCCCACGAACAAAATTTCAGCCGATTTCTTCACTTTTTAAAATATTAAAATACAACTTTTATAGCCAAGGTTTAAGTTAAAAGTTCTGGTTTCTGAAACCCAAACCATGTCTATTTTGCATAATACTTAAGAGCTGTCCATGAATAAGATGGGAATAATACTAACCAAACTTTTCAGTTTAGCATGAGAACATAACCTCTAGTTAACTTATTTGAAGAAAGTAGTGGCACATTAAGTGTTCTGAGCTCAACAGCTTCCAGTCTGAGTTTGAAACAATTGGTTTTTAGTTTAAGATAAGTGTTCCAGACAGAATGTAAATTTTCCAGTGCTGTTTTGACTATTTTGTAGTGTTCTGAACTTGAAACAGTCCCATTTGAATCCAAGACATTTCCAAGATAGTCAGATCAGCTTGGGAAACTTTCATAAATCAGAACAACCCATTTGAACTTAAGACATATTTTGAATTTGAAATATTGTTATAATATAAATTAGTAATGAATCAAGGATTCAGAATTTGGCACTTCTCTTTCTCAAGAGAAGAAGGATGGAGTTTTCTATTTTCCAGTTTATTCACACAAAAAGAACTCTTATTAATCTAGGATTAAATTAAAGATGCTGTGTAAAAATGGTCTTCAGTCTTCATACCAGTTCATTCCCCAGATGCTGTCATACCCAACTAGAATGGCTACTGTCCTGAATTATAGAAAATCCTATAAAACCAGGGACTCTAGGATTTCACAATATTTAATATGAGAATTCTAAAACCATGGATGTGGGTAATCAATTTTGTTCTTTATAATAATTTCTATTTGCACCCTCTTGTGGCAAAGACTTTGGAAGGCATCTAAGAAGTTAAACCAAGCAACAATCAAATCCACTTTTCTGAATGTAGGGTGGAATTGGTACACAGCTTTAAAATCAATTATACTATTTAAAATTTGAAATTCTGATCAAGCCAAGTTTGGAAAGTTGGAAACAAAACATTCTGAAATGTACTTTAATTTCCAGATAGACCAGAATCAGGTTTAATTAGTTAACTTTGCATGCTCATTTTGCCTTTGTGTTTCTGAAATGAGAGTTGTGTACTATTAGCAGTATATTTTTGAAATCAGGGTTTTTAAATCTAAGAAAATTGAAATTTCTAGGGAAAAATTATAGAGATTCATATGCTTTGGGTAAGGGATAAGGTGAAAAGTAGAAAACCTGAGAACGAATACAAACCTTGACTTGGCTTTTCAGAATTTAAACAGCAGATGACTCAGGAAGTGTTAGGCACTTAATTTGTTAGGATAAATAGCTTACAAGGGTTCTTGCAGTAATCTAAACAGTGATCATTCCTATCAGAACTTTGTAGTATTCCAGGCCAAATTATTGTTAATATTGAAAAAAACTAATAATTTATCTCTCTTCAAATATTCTTGCAAGCTACAAAAACTTTTCTTTCATCCAGTACACAATTAGGCTGCAAAAAGCTAGCTAACAGGATTATATGAATGGTATGATTTCCTTCTTTGCAACATTTGAGGGGTTTCTGAAGAATGTACAGTAGTATCAGTGCATCTGCAAACAAATTCAATGAATTCTATTCTATTCATTTCAGCCACAAAATCTAATACTTACTGGAAAAGGAACCACAAACAGAGAATAGAGGATGTTGTTTTAATCTTCTCTTGTCTAGACAAAATAGTAGCTATCCCTCACTTCTTTTTGTCCTGAACTAAGAGTATCAACAGAAACAGAGGTCTCTTCCTGTAAATATCAATAGCAGTCCCTCCCTCTAAACAGGGTAAAGAGAACTTAAGCATGTTTAACAGATCTTTCTGGGGAGGACATAGAATAAATTAAAAAGGGGAAGATGATCTTCCTGGAAAGAAATATGGCTATGATTAGGAATAGAAAACTTATGTCTCATATTCTCAAAATCACAGTACTGAAGTGTGGCTGCAAACCACCATAAGTAAAATACTGTGACATTTAGATGTTTGGTGGTAAATAAAAGGAAACAGGTATATTAAACTTTCAACATGCATCTATGAAGAAAACTTTTGCCCAATTCTCAATCTGCCAAAATGATAAAAAAATCCACTTGTCTTCTGATGACATCACCTCATCCTAACCAGACCCCCTACAACGCTCAGCTACAACAAAAATTATTTTAGCATAATGAGCCCCAAACCAAAAAATATATTAGCCATCTACTAATATATTATAGACTTTTGTTACAAGTCCCAGTTGTTAAGACACAATTTTAAGGGCACATTTTAAAAATATGAATTTTTCAAAAATTAAAAATGTTCATTTTAAGGGAATGAACTGAGTTACTAAGATGGTTTACACATGACTAAGGGAGTCACATATATAATTTCTCATTAGGCATGTTTTCCTTCATTGGGGTCCCCAAACTGCAGACAAAAATGTTCTTGGAGATCATGCATTGAACAGGAGGTAGGTCTAGCTGGCCCCCAAGATGGATGGAAACGAATTAAGGGGAGAAGCAACCTAGAACTAAGGAGAAATTTCCTGACAGTGGGAACAATTAATCAATGGAACAGCTTCTCTTCAGAAATTGTGGGTGCTCTAGCATGGGAGGTTATTAAGGTTGGACAGCCATTTGTCTGAGATTGTATAGGGTTTCCTGCTAGAGCAGGAAGTTGGATTAGAGAATCTCCAAGTTCTCTTCCAACTCTGTTATTCTAAATGATGCAAGACAAATTCAAATGGCCTTGCATAGCCATTTTACCTTGTGCATTCATTCAGTACTTATTCTTGCAAAACATATGGCTGTTCAAACCAATTAGGCAACTAAAAAGATAATGAACTGGGGATCATTACTGCATTAAAAAAACACCTTTGGCTAATATCAAAAGCAAGTATGAACAGCACGATTAACAATTGAGCATCAAAACCATTTTAAGGCATTGTCCCCCTGGCTGAGTGCCTTTCCAAATAAATTAAAATTTCAGCTTCTCTAACCCAGTGCCAATGCTATTTTGGAATTAGATTCAAAATCCAGCATACCTGGAGGGAAGAAGGCCTGTTTTGAAGGATATGTTATGCTATGTACAGAGGCATATGTAGCATGCGTGTTAATAAAACTATCTGTTCATATTTAAACATTCTTGTTAGTAAAAACATATGGATGTGTATTAAAAATGAAGATGTACCAATTCCTTTCAATATATCTATAAAATCAATCAGAGCTAATCTGCACCTTTTGCTAGCATTTTCATTGTATCAGTTTTTATTGTATTTTGCTGAAGCTGTCAATTGTTAAAAATGATTATAACACTATAGGTGTGTGCTGATATATAATAAAGTTGTCCAGTTGTGTCCGACTCTAGGGCACGTTGCTCATCTCTGTTTCTTGGCCGAGAGCGCCAGCATTGTTCTGAGGACATTTCCATGGTCATATGGCCAGCATGACTATATGCCAAGGCACATGAAACACTGTTACCTTCCCACTGAAATGGTACCTATTTATCTACTCACATTTGCATACTTTTGAACTGCTAGATGGACAGGAGCTGGAACAAGTAACAGGAGCTCACCCTGTCATATGGCACTCGGGTCTCAAACCTGGGCTGTCAGCTTTCCAACTGAAAAGTTCAGCATCTTTAACTGCTGAGCCAACGTGCCCCCAATATGTACATACAATGATATCTTTGGAGCTACTGAATCTCCCTAAGTTCAGTCTTTAATACTGAAGCATGTCTGTTGAAGTAAAGACTGCAAAGTGTTGCAGTTTAACTGGATGGCAACCTCTCCTAGCTATATCTGCTCAGAAGCAAGTTACAATGAAATAACAATTGTTTACTTTCTAAATTTCTATTGAGGAAAGGACTCAAATGTGTGTTTTACATTTTAGCTTACCTAGTTGAAGCCATAGTTCTTCATATAGTTCTTTCTTTTGGGTCAAGCTGGCTAAGAAATTGTAGTCCACCCTATTTAGGAAAGGCTGATACTTTTATTAAACGAACCCTCCCAAAACCCCTCAACCCTTGTAACAAAAAATATTAAAATCCCTGAATTTGTTTTTGTTGTCATAAGTTGCTTACGCATTACTCTGAGCTGTAGTTTTGTTAACCATGGTTTAAATCAGGATTGGTTGAGTATGCTCAACAGACTGAGGCATGAGACATGGTTTACAAACTACAGACCCTGGGTTACTATAACAAACTAAATTGAACACACCCATTATGGGTTAGTGCTAATTACAAATCACATACTCACCCTATTTTCAAGATCCAGTGTTTTACTCTAAGCATTAGCAATGTTAAGACTACAACAGAGAGGGTGACCAAGAGCGTGCCATAAACCCTAATTAATGGCAGTTGTCTCAAAGGAGGGTATTTTTTAGCAACCCCAAGATAAAAAACAATTTCATTTCACAGAAGAGAACAAACCAAATCAAAACAAGGACATATCATTTTAATAGTCTATAAATAGGCCGTGTTTCTAACCAGGTTTAATCAAAATTCATTTCTAATGTCACCAGATGGTCCTAGCGTTGGATACTCTTAACATAAGCCAAAGAAATAATTGCTAAGCCTCTTCTGGCTTGTTTGATGCACATAAGAGCAACCACATAAAAATATCATGTTGGAACTTGCTTAAAGTCATTTTTGTAAGAAACCCGCAAACCAGATGGAATGAGAACTTTTATGGGATTGAGTAAAAATTCTCTCAGGTTGCTTTTTCATATCGTTATCTTTGTATAGTTGCACTCCTAAAATTTAAAAGGAAATACTTTTTTTTTTCATAAAGTACAAGCAGGCACACTGGAAACCAATGATGCAGTTTTCATGGATTCAAGAACCAAAGATAGCAAAATGAAATCCTTTTCTTGATTAATAGAAATGCATACAGCAAAACACCGTTTTTGGTAACACTCCACCCTGAGTCCAAGTGGGACTTTCTTCATATAAAAATACATGTTCATATATTTATGTCACTGATTTCACATTTTCTTCCTTTTGCCATGAATGTGCCTTAAGGAAGTCTAAGTCTCATTTAACAGAAGAACACAGCAAACAAAGACAAATAGGAAGAACTAAGCAGTTTTCTTAGTACCAACAACTTGATGATGTAAGAGCCATAGGAACGATGAAACTACCTTTGCCAAATTCTGCACAAAGGTGGAGACGCTATCTTTCCAGTTTTTAAATTTGGCCAATCCATTCCCTGTTAAGACTGTCAAAATGACTTAAAAGTTTTGAACCATTCCTTTGGTACAAGGGTGACAATATATGTACATGGCATTTTCTGAGAGAGCAGCAATTTGCTACTGTGGTCAAGTGGCAACTCTTCCATCAGTCTGTTTATTGATTCAGGACCACATCCATTTCAGATCATTCACTGCCTCCTTCAATAAACCAAGTCTTCTTCATGTTGCTCAATGAAGGTTAAGGTGGAAAAATCAGAAATGAGCCCACATCTTCTCTCCAGGGCAGAATCCAGGTTTTCCAACTGGACCAACAAAAGCTTTTGTTGGCAAATTGTTCCCCTTTTCCGGATGGCCTCTCAGGCCATGGAAGTTGGGCTGTTCATTTCTTAAATGGTGTCAGTTTGTTAAAAGTGTGCCAGAAAAGGGATGGTTTTCGCTTTGGTTCTGCGAGGGAAAACACCTGCTGCTGTGGAATACTAGTGGGCACTGTGATGTGACGCTGATGGATAGGATGCAAACTCTGGAGTAGTGGTGGCACTGAGCATCCATTATAGCTGACACCTGTAGAAGGAAAACAGTATACAGAGATTATAATTCAGGAGTTGTTCACATGACACTTTTTGCAATTCATCAGGGAATAGGAATCTGAGGCCAGGGGCAATCTCACCATTAGGCAAAATTCCAAGGACTACACAGGATGCATGGTGAATTGGAGCCAACTCCCTTTGAACTCATTATGCCTAAACTGGCTAAGTAATTTGCTACCTAAGTGATCATTGTATCACACTGAGGACCCAAACATAACCGGCAATAATAATAGTGTTAAGAATGGGAGTATACAACAGACAGAGAAAAAGATGTCAGAGAGCTGGTGAGGCAATGGGAGGTCCTCTTTTCTACTCAAGCAGCAGTCTTCTCCTACCTCAAATAGCATGTTTTTGAGACACTATTGTTGTCTCTAATTTTCCTGAAACAAAAAGAGGCTGAGATACATATAGCAAAGCATAGGAAAATCTAACCCCTTGGATCTATACTGCCTGGTCTATGTGCCACCTCTTTATACACTTAACACCCAAGAAAATAGCATTAGTCATCTGAAAGGAAATGTATGTTGAGTCTTTTGGTCATGGTGGGGGATGATGATTAAATATTTACCTTTCATTTTCCCATGTCTTGACTTCCGCGCATTTTGCATTGCTTGCTTCTTTTGGTTTTCTGAGATTTCCATTCCTGCATTTGAAGGATAAATGGTACAAATTTCAATGCTGTTTCAAGAACCAGAGTGCAATATGTTGTTAAAGCAAAGTTCAATTAAAAAGCATCACTTGAGTAACAATTAGCTAATGGATCTAATTTCAACAGAGGAGACACATGTCACTTGTGAAACACAAGTAATAACAGAGCACAGACTCTACACACAGGAAAGCTCAGTTTCAATTCTCAGCATCTTCACAAGGATAACTTCTGAGAAACAGAAACAAGCCACTGACATTCAGTGAGGAGAATGCTGAGAAAACAGACAAATGGTTTGATTCAGAACAATGCAGATTTGTCAGTCCAGAACTGTTCCACCAAAATGACATACTGTAGATAAGGGACCATCACAAGGAATTATTCCTAACAAATCTGAATCTGATGTTTTCAGTCTTAATAGTATATAATACTATATTTAAAAGGGTTTTGTAACTTAAAATTAAATGTATATACCACCTCTGGGTAGTTTCCACTGATACCAAAACCGTATCAGAAATAAACAAAATATTACATCTTGGATTTAATAAAAATATCAGTAAGGCTATACTTATTGATGGAACAACTCTAACCACAAATCATAGCCAAATTAAAAATTCATAAAGGTTTACACAATAATGCTACAATCTCACAATCCTTGGGCTACATCATGAATATTTTTGCTATAGCTTTGTTGATTTCAGAAGGTAGGTTACAAGACCAGTGAGAGAGACTGTGCAATGGGAAAATATTCCAAATTTCCAATTCTAGTGATTTCAGTTAGCAAAAGATAATACTTGCCCATTTCTTTGTCTTCTTGCACTCGTCTCCTCTCATTTGCACAAGCCTCCAGCCACTTTTTTTTATCACCTGGCTTTTTCCCACAAAATAGGTGAACTTCTTCCGTAGCGTTATTTACAATTTTGAAAGCATTTTTTACAGAGATATTGAAGTCTTTGTCTTTGCCATCCTCAATGTCTACCACCTCCATTTCGTCCATGTCCATCCGGCCTTTGTAATACAACATGTCCCTTCTCAATAAATCTTTCTTACAGAACACAAGCTGATGGTCAAAAAGAAAGAATGTTCTTTGCTGACTCTTGCCTTGTTTGGAGATTTTTGTCAATTCTCCCGAGTGGATTAATTCAGAGCTTTTGCCTAAGATGTCTTGCCCCTACAGCATTCGTAAAAAAGAAAAAGAGATACTAAACTTTATCAGCACTGAGAATGACATTAGATAAATAAGTAATTCTTCTTCTATTCATCTTTATTATATGGCTTAGTCTCCAATATGATAGCTACCAATCCTGAACTACTTGCAGAGGTGGTATTCAGCATGTTCTGGCCAGTTCTTGAGAACCAGTAGCGGAAATTTTGAATAGTATGGAGAACCAGCAAATACCACCTCTGACTGGCCCTGCCCCCATCTATTCTCTGCCTCCCCGGTCCCAGCTGATCGGCTGGGTCTTCTTTTGTTGCCCTGCACAGGAGAACGGAGCTGGAAAGCAGGTTAGTAGGGTGGGGAGGGAATGGGATTTTGCAGTAATCTTCCCCCAGGGGGTGGGGAGGGAATGGAGATTTTACAGTATCCTTCCCCTGCCATGCCCACCAAGCCACACCCACAGAACCGGTAGTAAAAAAAATTGAATCCCAACACTGACTACTTGCTACACTTTTTTTGATCCCTATGTCAGCAAATACAGCAAAATCTTCCCTTACCAGAATGGGGAAAGACACCCCACTCCATCCCATCCCCAATTAAAAATATTAAATCTAGATATCACCCATGTTAACTATCACCAATAGATTAAGAGCTACAAGACAGAAGGGTTCATTTCTCTCTCCTCCCTACCTCCATTTAAGCCAGTGCAATGGTCTGTTATGTAATAAAAATTGGAAGATTGATTCCTGGTGAAGAACAGCCAGAGAGAGTATCTATTCCTGCCAGAGACCTTTGTCTTCCAGGGCAGTGTTCGCCACCCTTTTCGACACAGAGTGCCGAAAAGGGAGCACCAGAAACCTTGAAGAGCAACTCCGCGGCACATATGAATCCGCCTGTGTAGTTCTGTTTTGGAGAGGTCAGCTACCATTTAGGGCCTCGTGCACATATTGCTATAACTAAAACTAGGTTCATTAGCACACATCACAAACTCTGAAACAGAGCGAAAGAGATAGAGGCAAAGACTAAGTTTTTTCAGTAGGAAATTTTTTTCCCCTAAGTAATTTAAAACAAAAACAAGAAACAAAAGAATAAAAATACAAATTTGGAAAGAGAAAAGTAAGGAATTTAAAGAAAAAAACGTACAAGAAGTGAAAGAGAAAAGGCACGCACTGGCCACCTGGTCTTTTGGTTTCTGGCACGTATGCGCGCACAAAAACCAGCTAGCTGAAGCGCATGCGCACGCCAGAACCCAGAAGAGCAATGGGCGACAGCTGGCATGCCTGGAGCAACAGCTCTGTGTGTTTCTTCCGGCACATGTGCCATAGATTTGCCATCATGGCTCTAGGGTGTTTGGTAGGAAATAAGTTTTTCTCCTGTTATTCAGCTATCCGTCACAAAAACAAGGAATATTATTTTAAATATTGTTATTGCTATTTAAGTCCCTTAAGATGAGAGCTGTGAAGTATAGGATAGACTCATAAAATCTTATGTCTTTTAACAGGGAAAGGCGGATAAAACATAAATGCACTTTTAACTGCAGCAGCTTCTTTTCTTGTCTTCCTTTCTCTTTTCTATTTCACTCTTTGTACTTTGTTTCTTTACATTCCTTCCTTTTCTCTTTTCAAATTTGTATTTTTATTGTTTTGTGTTTTTTTTAAAAAAAAATAAAAATTAAATAGGGAAAAAAAATTTCCTACTGAAAACAACTTAGTTTTTGCCTCTCTCTTCCTCTCTGTTATTGTGATTGTGCTAATGAAACTAGTTTTAGTTATAGCAATACGGGCAGAGGCCCTAAATGGTAACTGACCTCTCCAAAACAGAATTGAAAGGCTGATTCAAATGCTTACTGAATTCTTAACCTAAGAATACATAATCGTATTGGATTTTAGATTTAAACCAAATTATCTCTTCAATCTAAGGGTCCTCAGAAAGGTATCTAAAAATTCCAGGATTTTATTACACTTCTAAATAGTGCTTGATCTTTCCAGATCATGAAGTATGATTGCCAAACTCTCTTTAAAAGATGAGGTTTTTTTTTTTAAAAAAAGCCCTGCTAAGTTGCCAATTCCAGTTCAGTGAGATTACTTGCAGCAGTTTTACAAAAACAACCACAAACCAGAAGTGCCCAATCAAGTACAAATGCCTCTCCTTTCCACAGATTATATTCTCAAAATGTTAGAGAGTGAAGAAAGAGTAACCAGTGTGCAGGAAAAGGAAAAACGTATATTGACTCCAATTCACAGTGAGTCCAACTTCACCTCTTCTCAATTTCAAGTATAAAATTAAGTGATCGCCCATCTGCCACAAGAATCATTGTAAAATCTCCAAATAACTAATTAATGGAGTTAAGTCATTTCTAGCATTGCTTCTTGGTTTAGAACGATTCTCCTGTCCATAAGATTTTTTTTTTCTGAAGCCTTTTGGAGGGTAAGCAAAAACAAATTGGTGCAGCTGAGTTGTTGAGCTTTTAGGGCATCAGCCACGATGAATCATTGAGAAAAAATAAATGTGAAATAAATTAATAAATTATTTCAAGTAAATCATAAGCACCACAATGGAAATAAACAACCACCTTTACAGAGTGGAAACAGCGGAAAGTAAGAAAACACCCTTTGAATCAGTTGGGAGAAACCCTGGGTTTTCAAGCCCGAAAAATGACTGGCAATGTCTCCTCACCTCCCAGTTGACAATGGAGATTTGCCAGCGAGCAATCTTGTCTATACTTTCCAGCCTTCGTTTGCGTTCATTGATGAGGCAAGCTACGTTCTTCATGGCTTCGTATGCTGCCTTGATATTGTTATAGTCACTGTCAAAGGAAGAAAGATACTGGTCAATCCCTGAGGAGAATGCATTTCATTCACTTCCCAGATGAATATCCTACTCTAACAAATAAATGACCCTGAGCAGTTTACACTTACCTCATTCAGTAATCAAGCTAAAAAAAGACAAAGTCAAAACAATAGCAAAAACCACAGGAACAATCAGTCTAATGACGTGAAAAAATAATTTTCATATCCCCCAAAACACATCACACTAAGCATTCTCCTACAAGAGGGAATCACGCCATCTGCCAAATTCTAAAAGGTTGCTGAAACAGCAAGGTCTTAATAGCCTTACAAAATACCACACATATAAAGGAACTATCTATAGTCTCTTTAGCATCCTCTCTCTGACACACATTACATACATTCACACAGAGATTTGTGGGCAGTGGGAGAGAGTGGCAGGAGGCTCCATTTCCACAAGTACCATGATGGGATCTTCCCACAGAGACAATGACTCTAACAGGCAATCCCTTTGTTAGGCAGAGGGAACAGGGGGCAGCTCCACTAAAAGGAAAGCTTTTCTTCTTCTGCAAATCTTTTCAGAATCTGCAAGGCAGCCCTGCATTAGTCCCAAAGAACAAAGTGGGAAAAGAAAAAACCAAGACAACGAATATCTTCCACACTCCTATCTATCTGGAGTGTAGCTGCAGTTGAAGGCGATTTATAGCCAAAAAGGGTACGTAAGATAATCACCGCAACTTCCTGTCCAGATTGCATATCAACTGATTTTTTTTTTAAAAAATGAACCCCACACTTAATTGTCTCATTGTCTGAGCACTTTTACAGTGGAGATTAGAGCTTGCAGTCTTGTTGAGAAAAAGGAGAGACTACTTATGGAGCAATTTTTGAAACCACCTTCAAATTTACAAAAGATTTCCCCAAAACCCCCTACATTACTTCTGGCATGATTCATCTAAGATACCTCTGGCATGATAACAGTCCCGTAAAAAGGCTATATGAGTTCAACAAGTAAGCTTCTGCAATTAACTGGAAAGACCATAAAACCATAAAACTGAGCTTCTCAGCTGCTGCTAGTGGATGCTTTGAATGGTTATCTCATTCGTTTTAGAGAACTGACCCAAAGCTCATGGGGGCCAGACCATTGACAACAGGGGTGTCAAAATGGTGGCCTGTGGGCTGGATGCATCAGGCACAGGCCACTCCCACCCCAGCTCTGCAAAGGCAAAAACACTGCGATATGTCATGTGACTCAATCAAGTTTGACACCCGTGATCTACAACATCCCTAGAAAGTGCTGAAAGATTGACACATTAAATAAAAATGTAACAGTCAAAATCTAGCACCGATTGTTAAACTGACAAGATTCCACCATTTTTGAATCAGATCTCATTTTTGAATCCTCTTCACAGATGATGTAAAACTATTCAAAACCACCAACAATGCTATTGTCCTTCAAAGCGACCTTGATTTTGTGTTTGAATGGTCAAACAATTGGCAACTCCAATCTCGACCAACAAATGCTCTGTCCTACACATTGGTAAAAAAAAATCAGTAAACCAAATACAAACTAGATGGATATGACCTCATTGACGATCCTCACTCAAGGATCTTGGAGTACTCATATCAAATGACCTAAATGCCAGAGCTCATTGTAACAACATTGCCAAAAAGGCATTAAAAATTGTAAATCTAATCTCATGAAGCTTCTCCTCCAAAAATATTGAATTGCTAATTGGAGCGTACAAAACTTTTGCTAGACCAATACTCGAATAAGCTCATCAGTCTGGAATCCGCACTGTATAACTGACATTAATACAATTGAGCGAGTCCAGAAGTATTTCACGAGAAGAGTACTACACTCCTCTGCTCGCAACAGAATACCCTATATCATCAGGCTTGAGATTTTGGGCTTGGACAACCTTGAACTACACTGCCTACAGTTGGACTTAAGTTTAGTTTACTTTATTTAGTTTAGTTTAGTTTACTTCATTATCATTGCACCTCATACAACGAAATCAAACACCGTCTTCAGTGCACATCATGACCATGAAAATAAACACAAACACACATCCTTCACACTCCACACATTGAACCCAAAACCCACAACACTGCACCAACACTGCACTATACAGCAGAATTCAAAAGAGCTACTGCCTTGGGATAGAAGCTGTTTTGCAACCTATTTGTCCTTGTTTTTATTATGCTGTACCATCTGCCAGATGATAATAGTTCAAGAAAAGGGTTCCCAGGATGAGATGGATCTTTGAGAATATTTTGAACTTTCTTAAGGCAGTGGGAGCTATAAAGCTCTTCCAAAGAGGGGAGAGGGCAACCAATGATCTTCTGGGCAATGACGTTAACCCTCTGGAGTGCTTTCCTATCTGCCACTATGCAATTGGCAAACCATACAGAGGTGCAGTATGCTAAAATGCTCTCTATGGTGCAGCGGTAGAAGGTCACCAGCAGTTTTTCATTCAGTTGTTGTTTTCTGAGAAGTCTCAAGTAGTATAATCTTTGCTGGGCCCTTTTGACCAGTGCTGCAATTTGAGCACCTCAGGCCAGGTCCTTTTTATAGTAACACCCGGAAACTTAAAACTGGCCACACGGTCTCCATTGATAAGCAAGGGCTGGATGTCTGATCTATTCCTTCTATAATCCCCTATAAGCTCCTTGGTCTTATTGGTGTTATTGTGTAGCGCACAAAATTATCTGCTACAATGTCCTACCAGTCAATGACTACTTCAGCTTCAATCACAACAATACAAGAGCACACAACAGATACAAACTCAATGTAAATAGCTCCAAGCTTGATTGCAGAAAGTACGACTTCAGCAACAGAGTGGTCAATGCCTAGAATGCACTACCTGATTCTGTTGATACATCCTCTTACCTCCACTCCTTTAAACTCAAACTATCCACTATTGACCTCACCCCATTCCTAAGAGGTCTGTAAGGGGCGTGCATAAGTGCACCATCGTGCCTACCGTCCCTGTCCTATTGTCCCCGTTTTATTTGTGCCTATTTCCTGTATTCTAACTCATGTTTATACTTACACCTATTATCTTGTAAGTGACTGACAAATAAAAATAAAATAAAAATAAATACATAAAGATTTCATGAGCTTATATGGGAACACTGAAGTTTTGTGAGTTCTTGCATGACTCCTAGAAAAGAGTACTGAAATCTCACTAGCAATTTAAAAACAAACTGATGGCAGGACATGGCACAATGTTATGCAAGAAGACTCAGTGACTGAAAAGGTTATAGATCTCTGTAGCTCGGATAATTCCCTAGGCTCTTAAAACAGATTGTTCCAATTAAAATAATCACAGAGCTACTACTAGGGTATACCGAGGACTGACCTTGTCCCTGAACTACAACTCTCTCCTTGCATAGCTAACTATTTTTATTTTCATTCTAATGGTGAGGTAGAATGTGTAGATTGTGAAGAGGTACTAAGTGGCCCAAAGAATCTAGGAAGAAGTTAGTTTGTGTTAGATTGCATTTCCTATTTTCCTCAAGCTGCAATGTCCTTGTAGGAGGTGGGTGATTTATACTGTTGCAAGAGTAAAAGATTACAAGAGGGACGTACAGGCATGTAGTTTGAAAGTCATGGGTGTGTGATGGGAACTGTCATCCAGCCTATCTTGAGAGCTCTAGGGTGAAAAGCCAGATATCAAGAAAGTTCCTCTTTATTTGATTACTCAGCCCATGCACTGTCAGTCCATTCAGAATAGCAGAACTTGTAACAGACATGTTAAGTAATCAAAAAGGATTAAAGCTTTGAATCATAATGTATTACCCAACAGATCATTTTCTCTCACACTAGTAATTTCCATTCAGTTTTCAGAATTAGTTCAGTGTGGTGTAGAGAACTGATTGGTTCATCTTCTAAATCACTTTTTCCTACCTTAGCAAACTAGTCCTAGCCTTCCACCCCATTGACTGTGCTGGCTTGGAGCTACAACAAGTTGTATTTCCAAAATGATATTCAGAAGGGCCTCAGCTTCTCAACCCATCACAAAAATTGATAGTGGTGGCTGCAAATTCTGGGAGTTGTAAACCCAGAATATCTGGAAAGTGTTAGGCTAGGGCGGTGCAAGTCTAGCTCAGCTATGTTTTTAGAGTTTGATGATCCTCTCTCCACAATTAAATAAAATTGCTTAAAACCATACAGGATCATCGCCCTTGTCACACTGCACAAAAAAAGCTAACATCGCAATAGGTCTCTTGCAAAAGGATTGAAATCTAACAGGATTTTGCCATTCTTGTCCAAAAACTTTATGAGATCCAACCATTTCCACTTTAAAATTTAATTCTATGGATAGTGTCTAGGGTATTATGGACTGCATGTGCTGCATTCCAGGCCAATTTAACTGAATGCTCTCAGCTAAAATACATAATTACAATTTCAGCACAATGTCAGCTTTAAAATTCAGCTGTCACATTTCATGGAAGGGGGCTGGAGGAGTTGAAAAGTTGAAGGTTATTCTGTGTGTGGTATTAAGAAATCCCAGTTGCAGTTAATTGGTTCTGATGATTTATGAAGTGTAGAAGTGGGAGGAGAGAAGGGAGGAGAGAAGGTGGATTCTGTGTAACCCACAAAAATCATTTCACTTTGGGAAATTGCCTTTGACATGCCAGATGTGTTTCTAAATATATCAATTGGAGAGAAAATGTCTCAGAGTGGTTGATATAATGGATACTTTCTGGATGCCTTACACACAATTTAACAATCTTACCTACTTCTTAAATGATTTACAAGTTTCTTTTCACTATCACTAAGAACTGTATATGAAGAAGACGTACGAATTTGAGGCTGTGCTTTTGGAAAAATTGGAAGGCAATGGGTGCAGTTGAAGGGCTCCCTTCTTGTGTATGTTTGATGCAAATGAAAAATAGGAGGAATGTTTATTGCACAAACCATGGCTGCTTTCATAAGTATTTGATCATATCCGGCAAGCATTCTTGGTGAGTGGATAGAAGTTAACCTGAATGTGGAATATTCCCCCAGAAAAAAACCTACCAATCGGCCTTACCTATGATCCTGAGTGGTGTACTTTAATAATTCAGCAAGCTGCAGGGGATATTTACAGATTTTCTGAACAGGGGTGAGGAGGAAACCATCAATAGCAATGTCAATCATTTGCTGAAGGAGGCGGCAAGCTTCAAAAAAATGGCGGTACTTGCTCTGTTTCATCAGGTTGGAGAGCTCAAGGCAGGCTCCAGGGTGATTGTTACAATACTCAGAATAGATTGCAAATCCTTCTTGCTAAAAGCAAAAGCAAAAAATACAAAAACAACAATTTTTAAATATCTCGCAGCCGAAAGGAGACAACTGAAAAGCAGGGATAAGCTGCAAGCTGTAGAAATTGCTTTCGCAATTCCGCAGCTGTTTCAAAGTGAAGAAAGAGAGAGGACAGGGATGTAAGACACCTGGGTTCCCTGCGAAGGCAGAGAGACAATATGATTGTTTCTCAGAGAGCTGACAAAAAAAATGAATAATTGAACTTGGCAGCCAGTCATGCGTGCAGGACCCAGAATGAATGAATCTGCCGCAAAAGGCCCCGTTCTGCCATTCCCCGCCCCCCCCCCCCATCTCCAGCCTCTCTGACTAAAACTACTGAAAATCTGTGGCACAGTTCTCTAACATTTAGGGATGAGAAATACTAAAAATTGTTATAACTCCTAAAATATACTTACTATATAAATCCCCAGTCCTGGCCCTCTTTGCATAATCAGCCTGCTCCTCATTCTGACCTTTGCCTCTTCAGAAAACATATCTGAAAAGTTGACTGTAACCTTTATTGAATTATGCTGACATTAATTCTGCCCTGTTATCTCACTGCATATTCCCCAGTTCACTGAACTCTCTTTCTCTCGCACTGTACTACTTAGTCAAATGAGGATATTTAACCAACTTACATGCTGAAGAAAGCAGGACCCTATTTCACTTAAGTGGGGCTCTTCTTTGTTGTACAGCTTCTCTAGATCTTTCAAAAATTTTCTTTGGAATTTGTAAATATCTTCAATATTTCCAAATATGGTGCTTAGCTGGGCCGGAGTAAACATTCCTGTATGTTTGCGACATTGCCGAATGTATCCCTAAGAAATCCAACCGAAAGGTCTTAATATTGATCATGGTAAGTAAAAATTGAAGATAAGCATTCTATCACTTTACACTAAAAGAAGTGCAATCATAACATTTCCTGTCTACTGCAATAACTCTGTAGAATTCATAAGGAGTAACTATTTTACAAAAGTCAAAAGTCAAAATACATGGACCGAATTCTACAGCATTACAGAATTAATTTACTTTAAGTAAGTAACAATTGTTTTAGTTCAGCATCTGGACAAGACATTTCAATTTGCTCCTAGACAACTGTATTATATTTCTATGGCAAGAAAACCGAGTGCAATACTAGAGCAAGCTCACAACTTGGTTTTTTGCTCAAAGAAACGCAACGCTCTGTGAGTAGCAGCAAGTGCCTTCCTGTTATCTTTTTAAAACAAGGTTAAGGATGCATTTGTAAAAAGTCAGTGTCTGTTTCACTTGGAAAAGTGATCGGAAGAGCAGTTGATAGACACAGCTTTAGCAGAGACAAAGCAAAAACATTAAATATAAGTCATGATTACCAGCAACCTTTATTCTGTAAAATTGACTTTTTTCAAATTTTATAATAAATATTTGTTATTATGGCATTGACTTATTAGTTCCTTTCTTCTCTTTGCCCATGTTGCCTTTGCCTGTCACTTTCTCCTGTTTTTCTCTGTTTTCTCCATACTGCTGCCTCATGTTCACTGACTCCTATGTACAGGCCTGCTGGAAATGACTTTCTCTACAGTAATGACCTGATGTTCTTCCTGGACTGCGTGGATCTAATAACCTTGCTGGGACTTTTCTTGCATCATTATCACTCCCATCCAAGCCAGGAAAGACCCTGAGCCTTGTGGTTTCTATTGACAGAATTTCTGCATCAACTCAACCAGGTGACTCACCTTTACACTTAATACCTTCCTGTCTAATGTCCATCAATAGACCAGGAACTAAATAAATACATTTCTGTCACTTGGGCTATCACAATTTTTCAAACACTAATTTGATATGTAACAGGAAAAGACAGGGGAAGGTTGCCTTCTCAGTGGTCTGGGTGGAGGGAGCAAGAAAAGGATAGAAGTACAATATGGCTTGTGGCCCATACTTGCACTGGGGCAACATGGACGTGTGAATTAACCTAAACCACATCAGAGGAAAAGGAACAGCCCAAAGATGGTATTTTTGTGATGGTATTTTTTTATTAGGTGCAACATCACTGTTTGGGAGGGTTCATAGACTCTTCGAGACAAAAGTTGGATTCTTCCCTTCTCCATTGTTACATTACTATTTTATATTTTACCTCACAGATGTCTTTGAGATGTTTGATATAAATCCTCTCTGTGTTCATTATTTCCTGAATTACATTGGTTCTCATCTGATCTTTGTTTTCTGCTATTTTTTGGCGATGCTTTTCAGGATTTGGTTCTTCATCTTGGAGGCCACTACAGTAGTCTGCAGGTTCTTCTTGATTGACTCGTAGCTGGAATGAGAAGAAGAATGGAGATCAAACAATTGAATTCAAAAATTATACTTATATCCAACACCATTCCAGAAATATAATGTCAGTGATAATAGGGCAATGTACTTGAAATTATTTCAGTATCTTGCCTACGTATACCTAGGATTATCTCCCACATCCATCACCACATTTCTACAATCTTTATCAAAGTTTCCCTACAAATAACCATGTCAAATAACATGATGGGGATTGTATGACCTTTTTAGCTGTGCTACTGTATTTCTGAATGCCCTCCTTAGAGAACCACCTGGTATCCACGTTCTAGACTTTTTCGTGCCAAGTGCATAAAATATTTTTATTTTCTAAGAAATTAATAATCACTTTACTGTTTTTAGGTATATGTATTGTTGATTTTGCAGCAAACTTTATTGTGATTTTATGTTGCCTGTATTCTTATTGTTTATTTAATCTTGATATTATCATACAATTTCTCCCACTATTTTATGAATTTTATTTTATTTGTACGTTGCCTGGAATTTGAGTTATTAGGCAATCTAACTGCATAGAAGATGTAATAGTAAACTAAAGTGAACAAATATAATCTAGCCTAAGGAAGTATCTAATTATCCATATTCTTTATAGGAACTGAAATTACACTAACATTCACTCTGATTTAACTTCAGAAGTAAGTTCTCAGTTCTCAAGACTGAGTTGTCTCTAACTCCCTTATTATACAACAACAACAAAAATCATGTTTATCTTGTTATTCTTAAAATTCTTAACTCTGAGAAGCACAAGGCTGAAGACACAAGCCTGAAGATGATGAATGAGACTTCATCGAAACGTCACCTAGATACTTCCAATTCTACGCAGGAGAAAACCCGAATAACCAAAGATCCACATACAAATACCCGCGAAAACCTCAGAAACTAAATATACACACACACACACACACACACACACACACACACACCTCTCTCTCTCTTTCTGTGTGTGTGTGTGTGTGTAGATAGATACAGAGAGACATAGAATTTGCTTTATGAATTTGTTGCCTCAAAAATTCCAGTTTTGTGCAGCATTGGGTCATGACTTCTGGGAGTTACCAACAGAGATACATGCCTGATTAGATGTTAAAACATCTATTTCCATTTAGTTGTAAAATAAAAAATAAAAATAAAATTGTTCCATTGAGAACCGAGTACAGGTAGTCCTTGACTTTTGACCAAAATTTCTGTTGCCAAGTGAGACAAATTGTTAAATGAGTTTTGCTCTATTTTATGACCTTTCTTGCCACATTTGCTCATTGCCATTGTTAAATTAGGAACACAGTTGTTAAGTGAATCTGACTTCCCCATTGAGACTTCGCTTGTCAGAAGGTTACAAAAGGAGATCACATGATCCCAGTACACTACAACAGTCATAAATATCAACTGAATGCCAAGCATCCAAATTTTGATCTCATGACCATAGGGATGCTACAAGCGTTCTAAATGGGAAAAATGGCCCTAAGTCACTTTTTTCAATGCTGCTGTATTTTTGAACGGTGACTAAATGAATGGTTGTAGGTCAAGGACTATCTGTATTTCAAACTTTCTTGGAGTTGCTTTAGATATTACCAGCTAAAAAATCAGTATGGAGAGGTTGCATTTTAACTAGAAAGATGCAACAAGGGATCTCAAGAATATGTTCAATGAACAGCAACTTACTGTCAACAGTGGAACCTCTTAACCTTTATATTGCCTATTTAGCCTTTACAATGTGCTTTTTGAAAGTATTACTTATTAATGATTTTCTCCTGCAAGCAGAAGGAAAATAAATGATATTCTTAAGAATCAGCAATTTGGAAAGATTAAATGCTTGCACACAAGGGAAACAATATTTCGGAATGAAAAGAGAAAGCTGACTTTGGTCTCTGCCTATGCTGATGATACCCAAGTAATATGTCTCCTCCCCTGGCTAAGTGATGCTATCCTGGTGCTGGACCAGTGCTGGAAGCTGTAATTGATCCAGAATGCAGCAATGATGTCCCCTATATTACAGCACTGCTGTGTGAGCTGCAGTGGCTTCTGGTTTCTGTGTGACCTACAGTGGCTTCAACCAATGGAACAGAAGTTGCCCGCGGAAGTTGTGGGAGCGCCATCACTTGAGACCTTCAAGAAGAGATTGGACCGCCATTTGTCAAAAATGGTATAGGGTCTCCCGATTGGGTGGGGGGGTTGGACTAGATGACCTACAAGGTCCCTTCCAACTCTGATTATTTGTATCTGTATCTGTTTCTGTGTGAGCTACAGTGGCTTCTGGTTTCTTTCCTCGTGCAATTCAAAATGTTGGATATCCCCTTTAGAGCCCTAAATTGAATTAGACCCGGCTACCTGTATGATTGCCTCTCCCTGAGGGTATCTGCCCATCCTACTAGGTCAAATAGGGTGGTTGCACTCCAGGCCCCTTCCTTTAAATGTTATTTCATAGTGAGAGTCTTCTCTGTAAACGTCCCTGCACTTGTAATCCATCCTTTCTCCAGACTTCTGGTAGACTCATCCTCCTTGCTTTTGGAAAGGTCTTCAGGAGCTGTCTCTTCTTGCAAGCATCAGGGTAAGAAAAGGCAAAAGCCCAGCAAGGCGGTGTGTAGATGTATGGGAGAATGCTGCCCCAGGGTGCAATAATTTCACTTTATAATTTGTGGGCTACTGATGTCTTTACTGTTTTGTTAAGGTTTACTGTTAAGAACTGTGCTGGCTCAGTGGTTAGAATGCAGCATTGCAGGCTGCTTCTGCTGACTGCTGGCTGCCAGAAGTTTGGCAGTTCGAGTCTCACCAGCAAAAGGTTGACTCAGCCTTCCATCGTTCCCGGGTCAGCAAAATGAGGAGCAAGATTGTTGGGGGAAATATGCTGACTCTGTAAACTACTTAGAGAGGGCTGTAAAGCACTGTAAAGTGGTATATAAGTCTAACTGCTATTGCTATTGTACACAGCCTGGAATTGTCACTATAATATAAGCAGATATAGCAATAACACTTATATACCACTTCACAGTGCTTTACAGTCCTCTCTAAGCGGTTTACAGAGTCAACATATTGCCCCCCAACAAACTGGGTCCTCATTTTACCAACCTCGGAAGGATGGAAGGCTGAGTCAACTATGAGCCAGTGAGATATATAGGTCTTTTGAAATAAATAAAGACTAAAGAAATGAATAAATAGATTGGGAAGCTGGGAAAAAACACTTCAGAGGAAGGGAATGGCATTATTGTCATAAAATTACACAAAGATGTCCATGTGGTCACCAAGAATTGAGCTGAACTCAAGAAAGACTATTCCTATGTACAAAACAAGCAAACAGAAAGAAATGGAAGAGAGGACAATGATGATTTTAACAGATGGGAATATATTAAAAATTGAAAAATAATCCAACGAATCACTGCAGTCTAGATGTCTTCGCAGGGAGGGAAGCAGGTAAGAATTTAACCAGGTCTCCAAAGATGAACAAGAGCTTGAAAGATAGAGATCTTGTTTCACTTACTCTGACAAAACTGGCTGGAAGCCAAGCTTCCTTGTCTTCATTTCTTCCCCACCACCAATCTTTGTTGGAAGCTTCAAGGACTTGGATGACTTCTCCAGCTTTGAAGGCTAATTCTTGATCATCCATGGTCACGTGATCCCAGAGAGCTTCTGCATAGACCACATTTCCATCACTTATCAGCTGCAATAAAAAAAAACTATTTTGTTAAAAGACAAAGATCTTGCTGTGCACCAGGGGTGTCAAACTTGCGGCCCACAGGCCAAATGCATCACATGCTGGCCACGCCCACCTCTGGTTTAGTGAAGGGGGAAAAAGTTACGATATGTCACATGACGACAATGTGTCATCACAAGTTTGACACCCCTGCTATACACAAAGGGTAAGGATCTGGAGTCACTGCAGAGGACAACAATGTGGAACTTTTAATGTATTTTTGGTTGAAGTGCCTGGAAATTCCAAAGCTAGAAATTTACCTCACTGACAGCTAGTTGCTCGCCTCCAGGCTGCAAGTACCTGGGGTTGGCATGGCAGAATTCTTCGTAGCTGTAATCCTCTTCACTGCCATCATCATCAACTAAAGCTGGAGATTCAGCATTCCCATCTGCAATACCTGGCGGGAAAGGGAAATTCTGAGAAATTAGGTATTGTCAAACCGACTTGTCCATTGCATTACAGATAGTCCAACTATCACCAAGCCCAGAAATTTGCTAAGTGAGTTTTCCCCCATTTTACAGCCTTTCCTGCCACGGTTGTTAAGCGAATCACTGCAGTTGTTAAATTAGGAACATGGTTGTTAAGTGAATCGGGTTCCCCATTGACTTTGCTTGTCAGAAGGTCGCAAAAGGGGATCCTGGGACACCGCGACCATTGTTAATATGAATCAGTTCTCAAGGGTCCGAATGTAAATAACATGACCATGGGGATGCTGTGACAGTCATAAATGTGGGAAATGGTCCTAAGCAGTGGTGGCATTCTACCGGTTCAGCCCAGTTCTGGCGTACCAGCAGCCGCGAAGATCAGCTGGCAGAGAACCGCTTCGCTCCGAGTCTCTGAGATGTTATGCAATTGGACCCACCCGCCCGTCCCTGCTCCTAGGCTCTTTTTAACCTCCAGCTGTTTGTTGCGGCAGAGCGGATTGCTGTGCTAAACAGAGCTGAGAGGCTCAGTAGCTTAGTTTTTACTGTTTTAACGCATGCACAAAGCCTGCGGGTTTGACACACACAAGTCATGTGATCCCACCCCTGCAGCCACGCCCACAGAACCGGTAGTGGGAACTTCTGAATCCCCCCACTGGTCCTGAGTCACTTTTTTCAGTGCTGTTGTAACTTCAAATGGTCACTAAATGAACTGTTGTAAGTTGAGGACTACCTGTATTTGTTTTATAAAATGCTTTCTTAAAATGGCACCAGACTCCTATTTTTTTTTAATTTCTCATAACCACTTCATGAGCAGTGAAACCTACCAGCCTACCAGAACAGAAAAAAGGCACAAAAACATATTTAAGGTAAAGAAAAGAACTGAATGCATACAGGTAGTCCTCTACTTCCAACTTTCATTTAGTGACTGTTTGAAGTTACTACAACACTCAAAAAGTAACTTTACAACCGGTACCTGTTTACAACCATCATTTACAACTGTCATATCATTCCCACAGCCATATGATCAAAGTTCAGATGCTTGGAAAGCGGCATGAAACCAGACAATGCACCATTGGTCTGAAATGGTATAGGGCTCCCTATCTGAGCAGAAGGCTGGACTAGAAGACTTCCAAGGTTTCTTCCAACTCTTGTTATTCTGTTAATTAGGTATAACGAAAAAAAAATCTCATTTTTTGAACATCTCCTGCCCAATTAATTAACCATATCCTCCTTCCTAATTTAATGCGTTATGTTATTACATAGAAGAATGTTGTTATGGGATATGTTTGCCAGATTCTATCAACACAGTTGATTAGATATTTTCTCATAATGTATGATGAGAGTACCCCCCTTATTTATTTTTATCCTTCCTTTATTATTCTATAAATAATATACGGTAGTGATTATATTTCATATTCCTTCTTCCTCCTGTTTTCTCCACTCTGTGAAATGAGTTGGGCTGAGAGTGTCAAAGCCATCCAGCTGGCTTTCATGTCTAAAGTGGGACTAGAACTCACAGTCTCCTGGTTTCCAGGCCAGCATCTTGACCATTGCACCAAATTGGCTCTCATTTTTTGAAACAAAGTCTGAGAACCAATGCACAGCAAGGTGCAAATATATTAATTATCATATTTTTCACTCCATAATAGGCACTTCCCCCTCCCAAAAGTGGGTGGAAATGTCTGTGCTGGTCCTTTGGTGAATAGCAGCTGGCTGCTGCGGTAGGGTCCTTTTATAGTGCTGAACCCCGCCACTTCTGTCTTTGTCATTGCCTGCCTTCTTTGTCTCTTTTTCGCAGTGCAGGAGTCAATAGGCAATGCTGACATATAAGAGGACACCTATCTATGGTCCTCTCAGGCACCGCCTGATATTTTTTTTCCCTTGTTTTCCTCCTCTAATCCTAGGTATGTATTATGGTGAGGTGAGCCTTATAGTGCGAAAAATATGGTAGTTAAATAGTAACATTATATATTCTCCCAAACTGTCTGCCTGCGCATGCCTTATAGGAGATAGAAAAGCCAGTGGCCCTCAATTGCTAACATCCTTCCCTACTGACCATGGGAGATTTGCGAATAGAATAGTTCAGGAGAGCGAAACTACTACAGATTTTTTCAAAGTTTGGAGAGCGGTTGTGAAAGAGAACCTTTTCAGTGATGGCCCCATAAGCTAGAGAAAAAGGCACTCATCACATTGCTTTCTTTCAATATAGGATGATTTTTTTGTTCTTCCAAAAATTTTAACACTTTACTTTGGGCGTGCCAAAAAAAGGTATCTCAGAAACAGTGCAAGTAAATAATGATCCATCAAATTATATCCTTTCTACTTTTGCTACCACAAGTTCTAATCTTTTTAAGGAGCTGCATTTTTGGGTGTCTTAATATTTAAAACTGTACAAAATATTTAACTTACAGATATTTTAAAATAGACTACAGCTGTCCTCCTAAAAGCTTTAGATTAGCACCTAATCTAAGTTCTTTAGCTTCTTTTATTTAGAATAAATCAAAACAGTAAATTAGACTAAATTATTTCATTTATCACAATCACAACAGAAATATTTCTAAAGACAGGAGGAACAGAGATTTAAAAAACCCGATGAAGTTACAGAAATGCAATACGTATTTGAAAGCCACCTTCATTAAGATCCATTATTGATTTCCAGCTTAATAATGATCTAGATTTAACTGTGTCCTTTTTTGTGAGTTTTAAAACAGATACCCATTAAGAAGATAACATAAATTTGAACTGATTCATCCACTGAAATTAGCCTTGAATCCGTACAGATGGCGTATTATTTCTTGTTCACTGTAACTCTCACTCTATTGTTTACTGCCTGAAGTAAACACAGACATGAATGGGCAATTTTTATCTCTCAAACAGGAATGTTAAAACTAAAATCAACAGTGAAGTCATTTTCATTTTTCAGTCTCGCTACTCTACTAGGTTTTCCAGTTAAAACATGATGTTGGATACCCAAGTCTAGGCCTATGTTTAAATCCCAAATGCCACAAAGAACAAATGGAGCTCATCTCCTACATCAACATACTTATCTGAAGGCTTTCCAGGCTCCAAAACCGGGTTATATCCCCTCTGGCTACCATCCTGCTATCCAGAAAAAGATCATTCACCAAGCACCTGGTTTACATTCAAACCAAGAATCCTTTTTAATCCGTAAATGAAATTTATCATAGGTCACGGAAGCTGCAGCAATTGGAAATGCCGAAATAGCTTATTCATTGCTTTGAGCGTCTGGGGCTGCATTTCAGCCAAACTCTACTTTAAAATGACAGCTCACTCTCTGAATGTATAGCTGTGGGTTTAGTGCCTTCCGTGACATCATGGGAAATCTTTAGGAAGTTATGAAAGAAAGAAAAAAGAAGCTATACAGAGAAATCGTGCACATGCAGCATTCATCCATATTAATTCAAGTCTGGTCAATTATTTCCTTATTGCAACCAATAAGAAAATAATCTAATTTGCACTGATTTATTATTATTATTATGATTGGACAAACAGTCAGCATAATGATTACACTATATTTGGCATTTTTATCCACCTACCAAGTTCTTTCCAAGGACCAGGGATAGCCCGATGTTGTTTGAATAGGTTACAAAATATTATCTACTCCCAAGTAAAGCTGCCTTTTGCAATTGACTGAGGGTGATTTTTGTCAATGCCTATGGGGTTCAAGTGGTGCTCTAGATGTTTGGGGATTTCACCCAAGGGATCTATCACAACTATTATTATTCTGAATGAGACTTTCACTGGGCATTCAGATCCATCTTTTTAAAAACAAAATAGAACAAAAACCTTCACCCTCCCTTACTCCAATGTTGAAGAGCTACATTTGTCTCCACAGCATTTACATAGTAATAATTCGCTTGATGCAAAATGTGCAAACATTGCATTATTGGAGAATGAGAAATTGCACATTTCAGCTCTTTGTTCCAGGATTTCATCAGCTGTACTGGCCCACCAGTTTACTACAGTAGTTGGGTAAATTAAATTCCATGGGCTAAGAGAGATTCTACGTCAGTAGGATTAGTTGCACAAAGATTTATCAGCTGACTCACATTTCAAACCTATTTTAAGCCAGGGGTATAAAAGAGCTAGTTCCTCAACACACATGACTTCTCTTTAGTCTTGCCAAAAGACTAATTCCATCAAATTGCCTTTAGGAACCTGCAATTTTTGTCAGTTACTAGCAACAGAAAGATGGGAAAAAAATAAAATAAAGCAATTTTCTCTTCCTGCTGAAAACACAGCTTTATTATCTTCTCTCCTTGAATCCATTGGCCATTCTATAAGAACAGCTATTTAACATGAAAAATTGGACCTAAACCACCTGCTTTTTTCTTTGCTTGCCATCCTTTTTTTCCTTTTGCGACATGATTTCTAAATTTTATAGGTTTACAGGCAAGGGATTCTTTTTTCATCAGCTGTACATAAACCATTGTGAAAATCTTTATAGTCTAAAACCAGACTGGAATTGTATTACATCACTGTGAGAACTTAAACCCTTGTCCCTTTTTCAAAATGCTGTTTCAAAGTCACAGATGCCTGTTTTTTAATCTGCTTCTGGCCTTCCCTTATCATATCTGTAACCTTAGATCTCAGCTTCAAATGTACTTCAGCCTTTGGACTTCCAACCTGCCTTTTCTGGAGCATTTACTTTCTGTCTGGACCTGAATATATAGTGGAATCTGCCTTTTAGAATCTTGATCTGCTGCCTCTAGAAATTAGGTTTGTGAGATGCCTGTCTCTGGATCACAAAATTCAGTAGCAAAGGTGGAAATTTCTAGGATTTAGTATTGTTAACAGAGAAGAAAGCCACTTCACAAGTGCAACATCTACTCAGTCTGTGAATAATTGAAAATCATTGTGCAGCAGCCAGATAGGTATTAAGCAATCAGTTCAACTTTAGCAGTTAGACAACTGCACATTAAAAAAGTCAGAATTTTAATTTAGTGAAGAT